TCTGTAATCCACGCAAAATCTGTATGTGTTGTCCTTCTTCTTCACCATGACGATTGGGCTCGCCCATGGGCTGAAGCTCTCTTCAATGATGCCTCTTTGCAGAAGTTTGTCCACTTGCTCCTGAATTTCCACTCTCATTGCTGGTGAAGTTCGATACGCCCTCTGTCGTATTGGAGTAGCTGTGGTGGTGTCAATGTGGTGATGAATAATGTCGGTCTGACCAATATCCTGAGACGTCGTGCTGAAAATATCACTGTAGGTCTGAAGAAGATGTTCAGCTTTCTCGTACTCTGTCCTCGTGAGTTCTGAAGAAGGGAGAACACCAGCAACTGGTGACTTGTCTGTCACTTGTGGATCAGCGTCAGTAGTTACGCTCATGATCTTGTATTCCTCTTCGGTATCCCCAGTAATGGAGAAGAATTGACCAAGGCAGGTGTCTGCAGGTAAATCAACTGCTTCGTCAGAGGGATTAATGAGGCGTACTAGAATAAGACCATCTTGAGGCTTGAACAGAGATCTGGCACCGATAACAGGAATGTGATCTTGCAATGTTGGTTCAAAGTAGCCATCATAGTCTCTTGGTATGATGTCGAACTGTGGTGACGACAATCTTCCCTGGACATGAGTTTCGCAGCTTGGGGGAATCCGAGCTTGTCCAACAAGAGAGACTTTACATTTCAGCGGGGCTTGGTATTGCTGACGATCGATGAAGGGAATAACATTTCCAGGCATGTTGAACGATGTTGGCGATATGCAGGCATTCTGGCTGTCAATAAAGTCCCACCCAAGGACAACTGAATGAGTGATGTTGCGTGCAACAACGAACTTGTGTTGTGTAGCCTTGTTCCCTAAGTGCAGAGATGGTACGATTGTTCCAATGTTGTCTACCAGCCCACCTGTGATAGTAGATGCCATGGATGTCAACTTTTCCAACGGGCTCCTTTGCGATGCTGGAATGGATGACAAAAATTTGGCACTCAACAGAGAGATGAATGATCCACTATCTACAAGTGCCAATACATAGACATTGTCGATAACGATCGGGATGTAGGGCGATTTCTTTGGCGAAATAGGTGCTATTCGTATTGGGACCTTGGTGTGTGTAGTTGATGAATGGCCCTCTTCCTCAACTACCAGAAGTTTCCCTGCTGCTGGTCTTCAAAACGAACTTGACGATAGGGAGCCTGTCTATGGGAGTCAACTTGATAACCTGCAGTGGAAGGATGCTGCTGATTTCGGCTGCTAGACGATTCATAGGGCCGTCTAGAGGGTGAAGTCCTAGATTGATATGCATAGCTCCGATTAGGGCTTGGAGATATGCGTCTTGCATATTCAGGAGATCTGCGTCCTGCATATTCTGGAGATATCCGTCTTGCATATTCCGGAGATCTGTGTCTTGAATATTCTGGAGATCGGTGTCTTGCATATTCAGGAGATCTCTGTCTTGCATATTCTGGCGACCTGTGTCTTCGGTAGTCACGGCTTGGTGACGGAGACCCACGACGTTCCATGTGTCTTCCCTCATGGGAGCGTCCTGATGGGCTGCCACCGCGTTGCTGAGATCTGCTAGGCCTTTCAACTGTCTCTAACTTTAAAGACATCCTATCCAGCTTCTTTTCTAACTCGTTGAGTCTTGGCAGTAGTAGTCGTAAGACTGATGATTCTGCAGGCGTCTTGTCCTGGACCCGATCATCTACAGCTGCTACTATACCAAAATCGTGTGCTTGGTGTGCTCTTTCTACACGAAGTGCGATCTTCAAGGCCTCGTCAAAATCAAAGCCTCCGAGCTCGTGAATCTTAACTTGAAGCGGTTTGTCTACTCCGGCAACAAATCGTCGAAATCTCTCACCACCTTTTGCATCGTCATCATAAGACGGGAAAGCCTCTTCTACTAAGGAAGCAATGGCTGATTTCGGCTGCTAGACGATTCAAGTGAATCTTAACTTGAAGCGGTTTGTCTACTCCGGCAACAAATCGTCGAAATCTCTCACCACCTTTTGCATCGTCATCATAAGACGGGAAAGCCTCTTCTACTAAGGAAGCAATGGCTGATGCAAACACCTCTAAAGGCTCACCTGGTTGGCGAGTTCGGGCAGTAATACAAGACTTGAATGTGTCAATAAACTGTGTCCGGCCGAAAACCTGAGAGAGTTTCTCTTTCATCTTCTTGAAATCCTTCTTGTCCGAAGCAGACAAGCTCTCCCACACGATGAAGGCTGATCCTGCTAGTCTTGCAGGAAGGAGGGTGGTTAAGTTGATAGAAGTGTCCGAAAACGCCCGTGCAGCAACTTCAAATCGACGTATCCATTGACGGAAGTCTTTGCCGTTCTCTCCCGTAAACACTTCTGGCAATTCCATGCGATAAGATGCCATACTGTAGGAGTTATAAGTAATCTACTCAACAGATATGATCATCAACAAGATATCAACCCAGTAAAACTTACTGAATGAGTCAATGTGAAGGAGGGGGGGGGGGGGATGGGGGGGTCACTCTGAGTGCAGATGAAGAAAATGCAAACTCAACAGTTGAAATATCTGTGGCGAGCGGCTATGATGGAAGGAGGGTGTATTCTGCAACTGGTTACGTTGCTATGCCAACACGATGTAGAATATGCAGGTTGATATGGCAGAATGCTGTAATGTACGGCAGCCAAAGGCAGACTACGGCATACATGCAGACTGAACGTGATAAGTTGCTAGAAAAATACAGAACTGTATGAAGGGTGAAGAAAAAAAAACCTCAGTCACCGATGAAGGGTGAATGCAGGAATATTCACCAAAATACAGCTCCAGTACGAAGAAGGGTAAAGGAAATCTCACTTACTGATGAAGGATGAATGAAGGAATTCACAAAACTACTGATGTAGGAAGAAATCAAGGCTCAAAAAGTCAAGATGAAACTCCAGTAATCAATGAAGGAGGTTGAATACACACAAACACTAACTGCCTCAGCTTAAAATGAAGGGAGGTCAATCAGTGCAGAAGAAGGGTGATATCATGCTCTCAAACATTCACATTCATATACAGATGGAGGGAGAATTTCACTTTGCAACTCACCACTAAAAACACTGCAGGAATTTCTACATATGAAGGAAGGCTGCAATTACAGTGTAGTGCAGAAAAACCACTGCTGGCACCAGTTGTAAAGTCCCACCCAAAACAAAAGTGGTCTCACATGGTTGAGGACTTGAGCTGCACTATAGATTTTTATTCCAACCACAAAATGGCTGCCAAGATGGCTGACATGCAGTCCATCAAACAATAATAACCAATCACAAGATTGGACAATAAGTAGGTAACCAATAGAAAAGCTTGTAAAAGATAGAGTGCCATGTGCCATGTGTGCTGGGTTGAATAGCTAAGAGATAAGGAAGAGTGTGTGTGTGTGTGGTGCTATAGCAGGTAATGTGCATGAGGATGAATGAATAGGGACAGAACAATAGAAGCCAAGAGCTAGCAGACAGGAGAGAATGAATGTAGGTCAGGAGTGCGCTAAAGCATATCGGAGTGGAAAACTAAATGTACAGTGTAAAATACACAAGTAACCACTTGGATCAGTGAAATTAAAACCTTACATAATATACCATCTTCACAGAAAAATGTCCTCATTTTAAAAGATACATCGTATTAACATGCATTTGTTTCCGAAGAAAATGCGTCACATAAAATTTGCTTGAAATACCTGAACGCATCAAATCATGAAGTATTCCTTCTGTACAATTCTCTCTTTTTTTCCCTTTTTTTTTTTTTTTAATAAAAGATGGGCGCATTGAGGAGTTCACCCAATTGGGTGGGACTTTACAACTGGTGGCAGCGGTGGGATTCGAACCCACGCCATCGAAATGACTGGTTTGAGGCACCAGTCATTTCGATGGCGTGGGTTCGAATCCCACCGCTGCCACCAGTTGTAAAGTCCCACCCAAAACAAAAGTGGTCTCACATGGTTGAGGACTTGAGCTGCACTATAGATTTTTATTCCAACCACAAAATGGCTGCCAAGATGGCTGACATGCAGTCCATCAAACAATAATAACCAATCACAAGATTGGACAATAAGTAGGTAACCAATAGAAAAGCTTGTAAAAGATAGAGTGCCATGTGCCATGTGTGCTGGGTTGAATAGCTAAGAGATAAGGAAGAGTGTGTGTGTGTGTGGTGCTATAGCAGGTAATGTGCATGAGGATGAATGAATAGGGACAGAACAATAGAAGCCAAGAGCTAGCAGACAGGAGAGAATGAATGTAGGTCAGGAGTGCGCTAAAGCATATCGGAGTGGAAAACTAAATGTACAGTGTAAAATACACAAGTAACCACTTGGATCAGTGAAATTAAAACCTTACAATAGCTATAGTCAAAGAATTCTCAAATGATGCACTATAGTCTCAGTCTCAGATCCTCATGATCATTACGGTATATGGTAGATAACTTAATTCACACAGGCTTGCTCGCCCGCCTGAACCCGTATGCAATTGTAGCGGTTTAATGTAACCTGTGATAAAGTGTATACTAGTTTATCACAGGTTTCATATCAACGTTTTTCTGAAAAATACTCCTAAAATAACGAGAAAATTGACATGAAACAGGTAATAAACATAACAAATTTTAACTCCTGATCTTTATTTAAACATTTGGGTATGTGGGGTATCCATGCCGGCGCGGAGTTAGGTCAAATTTTGAATAGGCTTCTGAAATATAGCGCCACATATTCTTATAAAACAAATAATACACATAATTTTGTTCGGCTATCGCCTCGGGCGTGGTATAGACCGGACTGTTCCAAAGTCAAAGGTACCTTGATTTTTTGAGTGGGTAATTCTTACAATGCCCTCACTACTGCATCATCATCAATAATGATCTGTCAGTTTATGACAGGTTCAGTGACCCATTCAAAATTCTATATCAAGTGTCTCTCCATATGCATATGCTGTGTATTATTTGTATACTACCTTTTGCATTATCATTATGTTATGGCTATGCATTATTAGTATATTACAACATACCGGTGCATTGTTTGCTGTCCCTCCCAATGCTCGGATCTTCGTCATAATATTCCTCTTGCTCCTCGGCTCCGTGAACCCCGATAAAAGAAATTCAAATGGGGCTGCTACTCCGGCAGCCATCTCGCCCATGCCCCTTGTTTTAGGTTATATATCTAGGCCTAATTATTGGGTTGCAGTTCTAATTCTTGAAACCATCAATTTGAATAATCCGATCCGATTGCTGACACTCTGACGGGCTCGAGGCGAGGTCTACGTCGTCGCGTGGAGTCGAGTCGGCTAGCTGGTGCGGTGGTACGTGCACGGTATAGCTGTTATACATGTCAATTACGGCAAACGCGCAGCGGCGATGCGAAGTGCAAATGCGTACAGAGAGCTGTTGGGGGAATCCCCCGCAGAATGCAGGTTTTTCATTGGTTATCGGGGGGGGGGGGGCTATGGTGTGACGTCATCAAAAATCTAATTTTAGAATTTCTCAATTTTTTGTCTTCATTTACCAAAAGAGCATCAAAAACAGGCGCGTAGCCAGGGGGGACGGTGGGGGCGGTCGCTCCCCCAAACGCCCCCCCCCCCCCCCAAAAAAAAAAGAGAAAGAAAGAGAGAAAAAAAAGTAAGAGGACGTAGGAAAAAAAAGGGAAAAGAAGTCGAGAACGAATCGTCTTCTTTTAATGAAACGTCAAAGCTTGCGGGAGGGGCGGACTGAATTCAGACAAGGATTATGAGTCGAGAAAGGTACAACGAATCGTCTTTTTTCAAAGCTTTCACGCTTCGCAAACGGGAGGGGGGAAACTCCCCCTTCCCTGCACCCAATCCCGTATACCAGCGTGCCCATTGAGTGGCGTTGTGTGTGGCTGCTGGCAAGCCAGTACCACTATGGAGGAAGAAGTCTTCTACGATTCAACCTGTATAATAATCTCGAAAATGATCAGCCAGTTGCACCGGAAGAGTCCTCAATATCATTAAGTAGGGGTGTAGGAGCAGGCGCGGATCCAGGATTTCTTAGGGGGGGGGGGCCCAAATTTGGAATTTTGCGAGCCAAATATTGGTACGTAATGGTGACCAACAGTAACGTAATGCGGGGGGGGGGGGGGGTCAGTGCAGGGAGGGGCGAGTTTCCCCCTCCCTCCTCCGCGAAACGCGGAAGCTTTGACGTTTCATTAAATTATTAGAGAAAGAAGACAATTCGTTGTACCGTTCTCGAAAAAAATTCTCGTCTGAATTAAGTTTTTCACCTCACGCGCGAAGCGCGAAAAATTTTACGATTTATTTAACTATTAGAGAAAGAAGACGGTTCGTTGTAGAGTTTTCGACTCTTAATCCTCGTCTGAATTCAGGTTCCCCCCCCCCCTCCGCGCGAAGCGCGGAAGCTTTTAAGTTTCTTTCAATCATTAGAGAAAGAAGACGATTCGTTGTACCGTTATCGAAAATAATCCTTGTCTGAATTTAGATTTTTCCCCTCCCGCGCGAAGCGCGGAAGCTTTTACGTTTCATTAAATCATTCGAGAAACAAGACGATTCGTTGTACAGTTCTCGACTCTTAATCCTCGTCTGAATTCAGGTTTCCCCCCCCCCCCCCTCCGCGCGAAGCGCGGAAGCTTTTAAGTTTCTTTCAATCATTAGAGAAAGAAGACGATTCGTTGTACCGTTATCGAAAATAATCCTTGTCTGAATTTAGATTTTTCCCCTCCCGCGCGAAGCGCGGAAGCTTTTACGTTTCATTAAATCATTCGAGAAACAAGACGATTCGTTGTACAGTTCTCGACTCTTAATCCTCGTCTGAATTCAGGTTTCCCCCCCCCCTCCGCGCGAAGCGCGGAAGCTTTTAAGTTTCTTTCAATCATTAGAGAAAGAAGACGATTCGTTGTACCGTTATCGAAAATAATCCTTGTCTGAATTTAGATTTTTCCCCTCCCGCGCGAAGCGCGGAAGCTTTTACTTTTCATTAAATCATTCGAGAAACAAGACGATTCGTTGTACAGTTCTCGACTCTTAATCCTCGTCTGAATTCAGGTTTCCCCCCCCCCCTTTTCTGCGCGAAGCGCGGAAGCTTTGACGTTTCATCAAAATATTGAAGAAAGAAGACGATTCGTTGTACTGTTCTCGACTCTTATTCCTTGTCTAAATTCAGGTCCCCCCTCCCGCGGAAGCTTTCAATTTTCATTAAATCATTAGAGAAAGAAGACGATTCGTTGTACCGTTCTCGAAAATAATCCACGTCGGAATTTAGTTCCCCCTCTATCCCGCGCGAAGCGCGGAAGCTTTTGTTTCATTAAATCATTAAAGATTCGTATTATAGTTCTCGCCTCTGAATCCTCATTTGAATTCAGGTTCCCCCCCCCCCCCCCCCAAGCTTTGACGTTTCATAAGATTAAGAGAGAAAGAAGACGATTTGCTGTACCGTTCTTGATTCTGAATTTCAAAGATATCCTTTGTCTGCTCCTTTTTCTTCCTACGCCCCCCCCCCCCCCCCCTGGCTACGTGCCTGCGGTCCGATAAACACATTTTGATACCTTGTCCGACCCTGCAAGCTCAGGTGTTTAAGGCAATAACTTACGGTCAGATAAGCATTCAGGGGCCCGCCTTAGGGCCCCTGGTGGGGTCGAGACGGCGGAGCCGGCCCCGGAAGCTCAGGGGTTTTAGGCGTTTAACTAAGGTCCGATGAGCATTTTTTTTGTATACCTTATTATTTTGTGACACTGGCAGGACACTATTGGCGTGGGGTACAGGGGGCAGAGCCCCCCGAAATCAGGGGTTTTAGGCATTAAATTACCGTCAGATAAGCATCTATGGGCCCCCGTAGGGCCCTATAGGTGGAGTCCATGGGGGCAGAGCCCCCGGAAGATTAGGGGTTTTAGGCATTTAATCCAGTTCAGATGAGCATATTTTGATGCCTCATTATTTTTTAACACGGGCAGTTAACTATTCTCTCTTTCTTGCTCTCATTCTATTTTATTTCTCTTTAATATACTTTTTCAAAAAAAGTGTAGGGGGGGGGGAGGGAGCTCGAGGCTCCCGATCCCTGCCGTACCTCGGGCCCTGACATGTAGGAATATCAAGAATCATATTTCTTGCCTGGCTGTAAATTTAGGAATTTGTCATTTTCCAACAAACACATACAAACGTATAATTTACTAAAAAGTGAGGAAAAATCTCGGAAATTAAGTAATTTCAGCATTATTTGTAATCCACCGTTGTGGAATTAGAAAGAAACCACGTTTGAATTTGATTTCCCCCAAGCCCCCCCCCCCTATCCGTACGCCAGTATCTCCTCTTTTCCTTTTTTCTTTCCCTTTCCTTCTTTCTCTCTTATTTTTTTGATTAGGGGGGGGGGGGGGTCAACAGCCTGGGAGGCAAGGCTCTTTCGGCCCCCCCCCCTCCGATCTCCTTCTTTCCCCTTTTCTTTTTTCTTCCTCTTTTTTCTTTTCCTTTCTCTCCTCTTTCCCTTTCCCTTCTTTTCCTTTCTTCTCTCTCTCTTTTTTTTTTTTTTTTTTTTTAGCGGGGGGGGGGGGGGCCAAGGCCCGCTCGGCCCCCCCCCCTGGATCCGCGCCTGTGTAGGAGCGACTCAGAACAGCCCATTGCAGCTGCATGAAATCTTCACTGGCATGCTCGGAATTATGCCGCTTTATAGGTCTAATTATATAAGGGCGATGTCCACTGCCAAAATCTAATGAATGAGACATCAGAAGAGAGTGACAGTGACATTAGCAGTTGTGAATACTAGTAAGATTTGCAGGGGCAGCGATCCCCACGGAAAATTTGAAGAAATGCCAAAACAACAATGTATTGCAAATACTGACTAAAGACTGCAACACACTTTTAGGCTCTGATTGAAGGGCCCAAGAGTGCAGCATTTAGACAAATAAAATGCAAAATCTTCTCGCTCGGGAGCTATGCTCCCTCTCAGTCTCATAATATCCTTAAAAATGTACAAGTAAATATTGTAGAAAAGTGGAATGTGAAAAAATTATATCACTTTTTTTTGTATCTATAGTTTTGCTAAGGAATGTAATTTTTTAATACAACAAAACTTCAGAAACATGTCGGATCAGCACCCTCGAATTGACAAGAAACAATAACAAAAAACAAAAAAAGTATATAAAAAAAAAGGTTCCTTGCTCTCTAGCCTGGACTATATCAAATAGTTGACAGGAAACTCCACTGAGGCGCGCCGGAAGCAGTTCGGGGTAGGGAGGGGGGGGGCAAACGTTGCAGGGGGCTCACCTTCCAGGGGGAAGTGGCGTAATGAGCAAAAACAGTTAGGAAGGATGGGAGGCATGAAAAATCTGCATCACCACCACTCTTACACGTTACATGCATGTGTTGGCGTGATCGAAAAACTAGAGAGTCGAGCAAATCTATGAGTCTCTCAATGCCAAACTTACAACATCATTACTGTGGTAAATATGTTATGATGATGTCTCCTGTTTCACATGAAAACTAAATATTAGTAAAATTTAGTTAAAGAATAAAACCCAAATTAAGCAAAATTGCCCGAAATCGTCTATTCGGGTGTGTCTTCTATTGCTCAAGACGGCTATCTTAAAGGTTCGAAATTGCTAAAACTCGAGAGCGTCCGGGAGCTAATTATAATTTGCGCCCCCGTCCCCCCCCCCCTCCCTTTAAGAAAAGATCAGCTAGCTCGCGCCCGCGCTCGTCATTCATTTTGCAAATGAGGTGTTTCATTAAATGGACGCCGTCTAGCTGCATCGAATCGTGCAGACGTGCACAAATATTAAAACGAGCTAATAATGAAATTCATTTGTGTATTTAATTTGCATATTTCACACGCTCTCCCTTTTTTGAGAAATTAGGGAAACATTTTAGTTTGATTGCATATGGCGCACGGAATTTAGGGAGTAAATGCGGTACGTATACCTCATTTATTTATGGCATATAATTTTCACTAGGCCTACTAAAAAGGATGTTACAAATTAATTTGTTCCCCGCGAAATTGAGGAGCGAGTGCACTTAACTGAAAAAACACAGAAACTTAAAAGTTGGTATTCGGGCAAAAGGGTTTGGCGTTTATGCATGCACACCCAACCTGGCAAAACTGTGCCCTTTTTATGACTACCCATGTAGGATTCGTCGTGGTGGGAACAAATACTTGCCTGTTCACGTGCTCATAATGCTATACTTGTCTGCCTATAGTTAAGCCAGTGATATGTTCCTGGATCGTGACTCGATCATAAAGGCTTTGCTTTGGAAAGATATTCAAAAAAATATTATTATATCCAGGCTGGATATAATAATATTTTGTTGAAGCATAAACTATATAGCTTTCCAAAGCAATTAAGCCTTTACGAGTCAGGGAGTACTTTGCATACATGACACATGAGATAAACAAAGAGGTTTTTCTTTCATATTCACTAATAGGTGATTACAAGTAACTTCTATTATTACCGGAATATTCTAATTAATGATTTTTAATTTTAAAAAACGCTATTATACATTTACTACAGCAGGACATGCATATTTATATATAAATTATATACCATCTGTTTACTATAATTCATCGTCTCCATTATTAGTTTCATTGCAATGATGTTATGTACAATTCATAGTTCATTTTATTTCTTCTTTCACAAATAGAATTTCAAATAAAGTAACTGGAACAGCAGATTATCAATATAATAAACATAATTTGAAGTACAATAGTAATGTTCAACATACAACTCTTAATGTTAACTATAGAAATTCTATAGAAAAGTTACTTATGTAAGATCATGTTCTGTAGGCCTACATGAAAGAAATAGGAGACCTCTAGAAGCATGGGCTTGTTAGAGCAAGCTAGGTCCCCAAACAGCTACCTGAATGCTTTAATTTCTTTGAAGAAAAAAATACTCAACAACTAAACTATACCTTAACAGACCAGAAGTAATTACACATGGGAAATATCTACAAAAGAGATAGATTGATGTATTATGAAAAGGAGAAAATGGGGAGATAAGGATCATGGAGAGCGAAAGCGCAAAACAGAACAAAACAACAACAGAGAAAAATTGAGAAGGAAGACAAATATATGTAGGAGAAATGGTGAATGGTTCATGTACAATTGTACATGAACTAAGAATTAAATGATTGTGTCAATTATTTTGAATATTAAAACCTGTGATCACAGGTTGTGATCACAGGTTGTATTCAAAATCTGCAGTGTATTCCATTTCCTTGTTCTTCCAGCATATGCACACTGAGCCACAGGGATTGCGAATAGAAAGATGGAGAGGGCGAGAATACCATTTCAATTCTGATTTGCCTAATAAGAGATACTGTACAATTGGGTGTATCCATCGAAATCCAAGTAAGTAGAAGGATTTTCCGAGACCGCTGAATTGCACCGCCGTGCGCCATCTTGGATAGAACGAGCGTTGTGAAAGCGAACTGCGACTACGTGCTATGTGTATGCTCAACTTTCGTCTGCAAAATGCCATATTGTGCAGCTTTCAACTGCACCAGTCGCCTTAAAAGAGGCTCTGGAATAACCTTTCATAGTTAAGTGATCACTTCATTAAAAACATGGCAAAAATAAAAAGTTTTGCATGATAATCCGAACGCAGAAAGCCACAGACTAAAGCGTGTATTTGTACATAGGTCCCATCTATTCATTTCCATGTTTGTGAACTGTTTTCGCTCGAGTTCAATGACATCGGCTATGAACTATCAAAAATATTGAATTCCACAGAGCTGCAAAGTATTATAAACCGATAATATCGAATACATGATATCCAGAGAATACTGTACTGTTTTGTGTGTTTTTTTTTTTGGGGGGGGGGAATCATTGGGGCATAAGCAGGTCACTTTCTTTCTTTGACTTGGTGAAACTTGGTTCAAGTTAATTTGAAGATTAACTTGAACTTATGAACATGTTGCATCGCGGCGCTGGTATTAATAGTGACACAATTTCCCCTGAATCGTCAGACTTTCAAGCATTATTGTAAGAAATTTACTGGAATTTACTCAAAATTTACACCTTAATTTTGGACATTTAAATTGTTGTAAAACACAAGAAATTTTACTCATCAAAGTTGGTCATTGTGAAAGTTACGACCTGTCAGTCATGGCAGTTAAAGAAGCTATCTGCATGAACCTTCCTACGTCCTCTAAAACTTACTCCTCAGATGAATATGTGTAGATTATGTAGTGATTTCATATGGCCTAGTCATAGTAAAGCACAGCACTTGAAATACAAATCAAGACAAAAAAACACCAGGCAATATTTTGCGAAGCTCCCATTATTCTGGTACATGTATATCTTTAAAGACATAAATATACATTTTGAAATATTTGGGGATTTCTGCTGTAAAAGGGTAAAAAATTGGTCAATCTTATTTATGTGTATTTTTTTACATAATATTTCACCATTGATGAAATAAATATACTAATTCAAACAGACTATTTCATCTTCTCCTTCCCACTGAAATGACAGAATGTGCACTACAGGGATAATATTTATTACGATGTTTGCCCTATTGGTCTATTTTGTGTTTTATCACATCTAGGCTTACCCAGAGAGAAAGGAATTGTGTGATTCTATTATTGACACTAGCCTGTCTTCTGTCTGACAGGTTTAGGTATAGTTTGAATCTGATTGCATAAATTAGATTTGAGATTAGAATTTGCGAAAGAGGCATCAAAGAAATAAAAAAAACAACTGGATTATTGTCAACGTGTTTCAGGGAAAGGGATTTTCTTTAAATTTTGTATTTTTAACTTGACTCTGATCAATATGGTTCCCAAAGCTATTTACAAATTATTGTGCGTATGTTTCTTGATAATGGATAATGTATTCGGTGATGGCATAGTGCCACATACATGTGTGTACAAACAAATTGTTTCGTCAAATTAGATAAGGAAGTCACTCATTATGTTGTATGAAAATCTGTATACAGAGGTTTACGGTGTATGCAAACGATCCCTGTTTTGTTATAAAATATTGTCCAATGATTTTATTGTTCAATGTGCAGTGTCATCTATTCTACACTATTGAATTCAAACTGTAGTTGCAATGGTTGTATCCATGTTTACCAACTGAAAGAGCTTGAGCTAAATGAAAGTTGCAACTTTCATCTAGAGTAAAAATCTGTTTTAAAAGTTTTCACTGAAATAAGATGAATCCATACATTGCTTCATGAACAAACCAAAGAGAGGGAAATACTGATTCATATGTATTATATCTTGTTGATGTCTAGTTTTTTAATATGTTCAAGTTTTGAGTGCTAAAAGGGAGAAAATCTTGCCTTTTGTACATTGTAGTCAGTCAAATGCAAATGTACATGTGATTATTTCTCTGTGTGTTAAAATGAATAAGAAATCTGCCGGTATAAACATAATGTGCCATGATTGCTTGCTTGAGGAACGTTTTTTCCACACCATTGAGGATTTTTTTCTTCATATCCACCATTGCAATAGTTCATGGATGTTTTGATATGTACTGTATACATTCATGTAATACATAGCGCAATGCCAAGGTTAAAAAAAAAAACTTAATAAAGATGAAAGTATTCACAATTATGTGGAAAGACATGTGAATAGTTGCCACAATGTGTCATTACTTAACACTTCTTAGACAAATCTTTAATATGCCTATATGGAATGAAAATAATATCTGGCAGCTATTAATGTTAGCCTCCCAAGGGAAAGAAAAGATATTAATATTCAGTGGGCCTACTTCTGCAGTGCCAAGAATCAAAGGGATAGAGAAAGAGAGAGGGGAGAGAGACAAAAAGAGAGAGGGGGAGAGTGAAAGAAAAAGGGGGAGAGAAAAAGAGAAGGGGATAGAGAGAAAGAGAGAAAGAAAGGGAGAGTGAAAGAAAAAGAGAGGGAGAGAGAGAAGGGGATAGAGAGAAAGAGAGAGGGAGTAGAGAAAGGGGTAGAGAGAAAGAAGGGGAGAGGGGGAGTGTGAAAGAAAAAGAGAGGGAGGGAGAGAAGGGGATAGAGAGAGGGGGAGTGGGAAGAGAAACACAAAGACTGAGAATTTACGAGTGTGTGTAAAGAGAAAGTGGGAGTGATTTATATAGATAGAGCCTAAATAATTTGATATATTCTTTCTATCACAGAAAGAGACAAAACTAGCCTAATACCACAAATGAAATTTAACAAATAGTCTGGCTCTTTTAGTCTTTATGCAAAAAAAACCCTAAAATTTCAACTCCCCTACTGTCCAAGCTGCCGCTCTTATTCCAATATTCAAGTCATCAAACATCTGTATGGGACTTGGAAAAGGGCATAAACAATATATGTAAAGATATTTTTCACCAAAACTAACAATAAAACCCTGGTTTCTGGACGTCCCTTCCTCCAATTGCAACAGGAGCTTGTACACAATACGTATGCGCAGGCGATTTCTTGTACTACGCAAAATGGCGGCGGGCGCACTCGAGCGGTGCCATTGCGCTGCGTGAAACGTGAACGGACACAATCCTTCTACTTGGTTTGAGTTCGTTGGGTGTATCGCCTCCGATACACCCAATTGTACAGTATCTCTTATTAGGCAAATCAGGGCGAGAATACCATTTCAATTCTGATTTGCCTAATAAGAGATACTGTACAATTGGGGGTTCCATGTCAGGTCACCCAATGTCAGCCCGCCCCCTTACAAAGTCGCCCTCAATTGGTCATGTCGCCTCCCGATTTTTTGTGCCGAATTTGGGATTCTTGGTCAGCTCGCCCCCACTTTTTTGGTCATCTCGCCCCCTAATTTGTTGTTTTAATTTGATGTATTTTACAAGTTCAAAGTCAAGCCATTTTTAGTTCCTTGCATCTCAGTACTATGTTATTACTTTGTTATCACTAAATATTGAAAATTTTCCTCGTAACTGCATATTTTCGAGGATATTTGCATCTAAGTTTCCACCGGCTTACGTAGTACTAGTACTACCTCATCGCTCGTTCTGACTCGACTGGCTTAGTTCTAGTGACGGAGCTTACGGATGAATGCTTGAATTCAGGTAAAATAAACTTGAATACAACCATATTTTCTGTATTTGTAATGAAAGAAAGTGTTCTCACAGTGAAAAGTTGGTAAAAGTTAAATTTTCAAACTGCTACATTTCAACTCTAGACTATTGAATTATTCATTCGGAAGTTAGCGCTGCTGCGGCCTGCGCCTGCATGTACTGGCCGTACAACCGCGCACTCGCACCGGCGTTATTTTTGTAAACAACACACCCCAAATCCAACACAGACAGACTAGACACACAAAAAACAACATGAGCGAAGCTACTTAGACTAGTCTATTTGCATCTGGCCCATTCTGGGATTAATGTAGGTCTATAAATTTGTTTTTATGTATGTGTTTTGACAGTATTTGATAGGTAATGTACCGGTATGGCAATAAAATTCATTGAAATGTAAGAAATTCTTTTATGGTAAGATTGGGTTATCAACTTATCATAGATTTTTTGTAATTAACAACAAACGCTAACACCACAACGCTGTTAACAGTAACACAGACAAACAACAACATGAGCGAAGGTTTTTTGCAATACAGCTTCTTATATGCATCTGGGATTAATACATTTAATTTATGCATACATTTGTGTGTTTATGTATGTGTTTTGACAGTATTTGATAGCAGGGGCGGCGCGCCACGCCACGCAGGGGGTGTCTGAGGGCATAAATGGCTCGCTTTGCCTTTGGTGCATACTTTTTGCAAAATTAAAAAGAATACAGTCTTAAGTTCAGCTAACAGGACAAGAACGCAGGGGTGTCTGAGGGGGGATGTGCCCCACTCAGTTTATAGATTTTTTTTAAAAATTGATGCATAAATTGCTTGATTTGGTGCATAATTTTTGCAAAATCAAAAAGAAAACAGTCTTAAGTTCAACTAACAGGAACAAAAACGCAGGGGGTGTCTGTCAAGCAAAGAAGGACATGAATGAACATTTAATTAAAAATTGAAAATTAGATACAGTCCTGCCCTGAAAATGAATAAATGGCACCATCCGAAAAAGGAATACTTTTGGTTTGAGACTGAAGTAATCATGAGTAGCTAGTCTACCTTTTGGGGAACAATTAATGTCCACATATTTAGCTTAGTTTCTCTCATTATCTGTACTCTGTGTCTGTAATATCCAAAGGCAGCACTTTAGGACCCTTGGTCCCTCACCCTATACAAAAATTCTTGTAAACAATTGTTCTTGATACCAGCAAATGTTGCCCAACTCCACTTCATATTTTAAAGAATTTTCCAAGCAAGCACCATACTAGATGATGTACATGTCTCACTACCTACACTTCAGTGGTAATGAAATTATGATGATGTTTTTGCTTTCACTTAGTTGCAGATGCAGTAGATACAATTTGCACTTATATGAAGGAAGCACTGGGAAAGTAATCTACTTTTCAAGAATGCCACAGGCCAGAAACAAATCCAGGTGAGATTAGTTTCATGATCTGTTCAGGAAAATCACACTTCAGCAGCAAAGTACTAAGCACACTCACTGCGTATGTGCATTGGGGTGGTTGTTGTCTGGTAGGGGCAATTGGAAAATTCTATTTTGGGGTAATAGGGGCAATTGAAAACTTCTGTTTGGGGTCAGTTATGCCTAGTAATTAATTTGAGGTACAAAAAATAATATTGGATTCATTTCCTTACCTCTGCTTGCAAAAAAATGAAAGAAAATAACGTGTAATTATTTCTTTCATTCTACAAAATTAGATTGGATACAGGGACCGACATGCTGGGAAGATGGGTCCTTGATAATTCACTGAACACAGAGCTGCAGATGTGACTTGGCATAGTGACCTAAGAGTGGGAGCGGTATGGAACCGTTGAAGCAATTCACCGAACACTGTTGAAGCAATTCACTGAACACAGTCAGAGCTGCATGTGTGACTTGGCATGGTGACCCTTAAAGTCTCCTGACGGCTCCGATTGCGATTCTGATGATGAACCATTGTCTATGCTTCTGAGCGAGTCAAAAGGTATCTTCTTTCCTTCTTGATTGTCTCCCAATAGTTAAAATTTAAGATATTCTTAATTGTTTTTTAATGCTTAGGTCCCTTAGTTAAGGGAATGAGTGGCCCTATCGAGGTCAGCATCTAAGTTGTTTTTTTAAATCCTTAAAGGTAAAGACCAGTATTGGAAACGCCCCAATTTCAAAAAATGAAATGGAAGCTCTCATTACCAATCATGTCAAAGAATATGTTTTGACTAATACATGATGATAAAAAATTTGCCGGGAAACCGCCTACTAATTCATATATTTGGTAAATTTGTTTCTCTCATGGTCTGGTGAGAGATATATCGTAGTCCCATATACATCTTTCTGTGTATAGTGCTTGTAACTTTACAAAGAATGGGCCAAATTTCTTATCATTTTGATGATTCCAGAACCTTGCAGATGCTAGATGCTAGATGATCAACCTTTTCTGATCGATTCCACAACGTTTCTTTCACAATGCAATCGCATGACCATTACTGGTCTTTACCTTTAACAACAAATGCCAATACTAAGGTGATACCACATTAAGTATTTAATTTATGAAGAGACTCTCCAAAAGTGGGTACCAAAACTACACACAATAATTTCGCCCGATCATAATGCACTGTAAAGTTTCCCTTTCATAATTGAAATTCTGATAATGGTTTTCTATTGATTTTGACTTGGACTTTTTAAATTATGATATTTCTTTCTCTTATTTCCTTTTGCTTTCAAGCAGTCCAGATCAAGAATCTTCGTTGCTTCAACCACTATCGCTTGGATGACATACGTGTGAAGAAACTTGAAAAACTTGTGTTGAAGAGCATGCTTGAGAAACTAGAATCAATTACATTGATCGTTTTGGCAATGCTTCAATGTTTCAATACCTCAATCTCTCTTTTATACTGTTTGATTTTAGACATTTTGAATATCATAAATAAAGCAAGCTCCACTCATAATTGTAATTGTGTGTAGTAATTGCAATTAAATAGATCCATTTAAAATCAATGAATTGCAAACTGGTAACATTTTCCATGATTTCTGAAACAATGAACTGAATGGTCATACAGGTGTTTGGTAAACTTTGTAGCGTTTGAGACTGTGTACTAAATTTTATTGAAATATCCTAGAAAGAGATTGTGTAAACTGACTTGTTTCTGATACTCTACTCACAAGATATTTATGAAAAACAGAGATGAACAAAAAAGTAACGATGATGATTATATTAGTCTTTTTTCCTATTGAAAAACTTCATGATACATGTAGTACATGTATGTCAAGCATTTTGTATGTCACATGTGGCATTTCCTCCCTACGATTGCTGAACAAACATGATAACCAGGACATGTATAACGAATTAGATAAAGACATTTTAGCATATTTACAAGTACTGTATAATGAATGAAATAACCTTCGTATTCCGTGGATGTATACCTGATGAGTCTTTTCGAAAAACCCTAGATGTATTTCAAAATGCAATACAGTATTGATGATAATTGATGATGATATGTTTGGTATGAATTATTTAATATTTTTGAATTTATGCTCTATTTGCCACTTGCTGTTCTGGTTCCAAATGTTTGAATTAAAACTGCTCAGTCGAAATTCATTTTCCGTGTTTATATTGCAGAGTTGAGTAGTTAACTACAGATTATGGTCAATGATCAATACTGAATCTTTTTCCTTCATTCAAAAATATTTCTTAACATATTTGCTTTATTTCCTATGTGAAAAAATATATTTAGCTAGGCCCCTCTCTAAAAAATTTAAAATTCCTCATAGGAATAGAGTAGCAAAAGCCCTAATATCACCCGCATGAATTTCAACAAGAAATGGCAGAATTTGTGTGATATTAAGGGGAGATGCAGGGGGTAAAGAGAGAGAAAGAGAGAGAGAGAGGGGGGGGGGGGGGGGGAGGGGAGACTACTTGAACGTGTTCTTGAGTGGAAAGTATATAGTAACTTTAGTGCAATCGTTAGTCCCTACTACATACAATGTACCTGATAATTACACCTCAAAGAATATTAAATACATAATATCCATTTTTAGCTTAAGATTAAAGAGAATATAGTTTATTAATCATTTTAAAAGCACTTGGTAGAAACAAAGCTGATTGTGCTTTCCAATATGTGCTATTGATAGTTAATTTATTGTGAACCATAGCTTCGTGAACAAAAACTGACATCATACATCTAACATCATAATTATACAAAGAAGAAAAGGTGCTCTTATTTTATCCATACATCTATTAACAAGTAATTTTGCCGTATTTCAGTCTCTATCTCATGAAATTGCTTCACACAATAAAAATCCCATATGTTTTATACGCGCTCGGCTACGAGCCGTCACTAATTCGTGAAAACAAAAAGTCTAAAAATAGAAATAGAAGAGAATGTCTCTACATTGAATTAAAAGTGAGCTATAATTGATATGGCTATCTTATTACGAAGCAAATAAATCGAAATAAAAGCTTTCGGTGGTAGACTCAAATGAACGAAACGTTATCTAATTTTACTCCAATTCATTCTATAAGTGCGTGATTTTGTTTAAGGAATAAGGGACGACCATGCGTGACCAATATGAACACCTGCTCATCTTTTCAAGTATTCGAAAGCACTATAATTAGGTTCCATCCTTAACCTGTCTAATAATGTTTGTTTGTTTTTTGTATAAATGTCACTTTTATTTTAATCTGTGCACATAATAGAGCATTTATTCTTTCAAACGCATACCTTATATTGTATGTCGCGGCGCTTTTGTCCTTCATAAAAGCGCGGAGGATAAAAGCGCCGAAACAATAATATCGAAACATTGAGAGGCTTTACCGCTTTCAATGAGATCAACCCTCATTATACGTCAAAAGCGTCACTGCAGGGGCGTTGCTAAAGGGGGGGGGGGGAGGGGGTGCGACACCCCAACCTGTCAGGATATTGCAGGGGCGGATCTAGCTTTTTGCTAAGGGGGGGGTTGACCAAAATAATGACGATGCGGAGCATCGTCCACGAGCCGCGAAGCGGCGAGCCGATTTTTTTTGGGGTGTTTATTTGAACCCCGTAAGTGATGTTTTCCTGGCATCTATTAACACAATGGAGACCATAAAAAGCAGTGCATGATAACGTCTTTTTAAATCAAGTAACAGTTAAATACACAGTTATATCCAGAGTTATCATGTGTTTGGTTAAGTTACCTGATGAGTTGAATATCTTCTCACAATATTTGCACTTGAAAGGGTTTCTCTCCAGCGTGCGTTCTTTTTTCTTTCTTTTTTTCTTTCTTTTTTTCTTTTTTTTCCTTTTTTTTTTTTTTTTTTTTTTTTGGGCCTCCCAAGGGGGGGGGGGTTGCAACCCCCCCAACCCCCCCCTGGATCCGCCACTGTATTGTCGGTAAAATTGCCCTGCTGTCGGGAAAATGAGAAAAGGGGGAGGGGGGAAATGCCCCGGGGGAAAATGAGAGGGAAAGGGAAGGAAAAGAACGAAATAGAGAACGAGCGGCTGATAATGTCGAAATGAGAAGAAAATTACTGTACAATACTTATAAAAAGTAAAACTTTTTAATGTAAATCTCTGTTGCATTAAAATAAAATGAAACGTTTACATTATACTTAAGCACAAAATAGTTATCTAGAAGAAGGTGGACAACATAAGAAGAGAAAGAATGAAACTTTCTCTTTTATTTACAAACATATAAATAGCATAAAGAATATTACTGTAATATTATAAACAGTAAAACTTTTGAATGTAAATCTCTGTTGCATCAAACTGATATCTAAACAAAAAATGTTTATTATGCTATATTGACGGTATACGTCGGACATTATATAAACAAACAAAAAAGAGACAAACTAAAGAAAAAATCTGAGCTGGGGGGGGGGGGGGGGGGATGGGAGTCGGTGAGAAAAATATCATAATAATAATTACAGTACAGACTGCGTCCAATTTTCTATCTCCCCGCCACCCGCCCTTCCCTTCTCTCTCCCTCTCTCTGTCTATGTCCATCTTCATCTTTGTCCATCTTCATCTTTCATAATGTTGTCTATTCCGCCATTTGCTCGTATGCCGGGCATCATCCCTTCCTTGAGATTAATTATTATAACATATCCCTGATGTTATACGTCGGACATTATACTCTAGCGAAAAGATATGATCAAACCAACAGAGACTAACTAAAGAACAAGATCAGAGGTGGGGGTGATCGGAGAGACAAATATAAACATAAATACAGTATACAGGCTACGTCCAACTCTCTATCCCCCCCCCCCTCTCACATAATTATACCTTATATTTAGTTTAGGGAACGAAACAGAGAACAAGCGGCTGATAATGTCGAAATGAGAAGAATATTACTGTATACAATACTAAAAAATAAAACTTTTGAATGTAAATCTCTGTTGCATCAAAATAAAATGAAAGGTTTATTACATTATACTTCAGCACAAAAGAGTTATTTTGAAGAAGGTGGACAACAATATAACAGAAAGAATGAAACTTTCTCTTTTATTTACAAACATATAAATAGCATAAATAACCTGATTCTGACCGCTAGGGGGCGACTGTGTATAGGGGGCGACTGTGTATAGGAGGCGACTGTGTATAGGAGGCGACTCGACCACACAATTTGGGGGCGACTACGTTAGGAGGCGACTGCGTATAGGAGGCGACTGTGTATAGGAGGCGACCGAGTGGGGGGCGACCTAGTACCTGACCAGACACCGTATCGGAGGCTTGTCCATTATTGCAGCATTGATTGGTCAAAATGTTCCGTAAGTAATTTTGTTGTTTTTATCGGTTTCTAATTGATTTTAATGCTAAAAAGTACTATCTATGATTAACTAGTGGAACAGAGAATAGACTTAACGGAATTGGAAGTAATTATATCATCTAATTTAGTTGAGAAGTCACTTTTTTTGTATGGTAGAAGTTTAGACTAGGCCTACTACGTCATATTCTTTGCTACGCATGTCGCATGTTAAATAAAAATCCGGCAGAGTGTCGGTAACTCGATGCGCAGGCGCTGCCGAGAGGGAGCGTAGCCTCGCGCTCGGGCCTAGTGGGAATGGAGCAGAGTTGAGCTGAGAGGCCCTAGTTTTTATTGAGTTTATGTCGGGGGGGGGGGGGGGGCGGGGGATAATACATTAACACAAGGAAGTAGATCTAGTAGGTGTGTATAATTAGTACGCAATAGCAGCACATGCAAGGTCAGTGGGCGCACATACAGCACTCGAGTCGCGAACTCGTAGTCACGAAGAAAATATCCCGTTTATCCATGTACAATGAGTTTACGAGCCCCCATTGGGTGATCAATCTAGCAAAAAAAATCCCAAGTAACGCCCCCGGGCGCTGATCCAATCAGAAAATTGATGCGTAAATCAGGTTGACCTAAGTTTGACTTGGGGCGTCTATTTTGCTCTTCTGTTCGGGCGTCCGAACGATACCTCGGTTTTCCGAACGATTCCTCGGCTAGGTTTTTCCGGTTTCGGATAATACCGACAAGTTTAATGACCGTGGGAAAGCGAGCCAAGTTATGCGCATTGCGGCATGATTTGAGTTCATAGAAAGTTCAAATGCGTGCCTCGCCGGCTCAAGGAATGCAGTCTAGTCATTGGTGTTATAATTAGCATTGGCGAAATGAAAATCATAATCTAATGGAGGAGATTAATTGTCATGATGATTGGCACAGCAGGTTCTTCAATTCATTCCTATTTTGATGTTGCATGTACTTTTATCCTTCCTCTCACTCTCTCATCCCTTTTCTCTATCTGAACTTGCTACTTTTCAAATTTCCTTTTCTTCTTCAGTTCTTGTCTTTCCTCTCTATTACTATTTCACTCCCACCCCCTGTCTCTCTGTCTGTATCTCTCTGTCTGTATCTCTCTCTCTCTCTTTGCTCTCTCTCTCTGCCTCTTCCTCTTCCTCCCTTCGTCTCTCCTTCATCCCCTCTGTTTCTCTCTCACACTTTCTGTCCCTCCCTCCTCCTCTCCACCTCTTTTCTCTTATGATGATGTTTTACAGTACAACATTCTATAATTATATGTTATTTTTACTGTAACCAATAACACCTAAGTAATTCCATTTCTTTTAAATAATGATAAATTGAGGCTTAGGTAATTATTAGTATGTTGTATGTCATGTATTTCAGCAATATAATTATGTGCAATATTAACTGCCATGATGATTGGCATAGCGGGTTCTTCCATTCATTCGTATTTTGATATTGCATGTACTTTTATCTTCCTCTCACTCCCTCATTCCTTTTTTCTATTCGAACTTGCTACTTTTCAAATTTCCTTTTCTCTTCTTCAGTTCTGGTCTTTCCTCTTTATTTTTACTTCACTCCCATTCCCTCTCCCTCAGCTCTATGTCTATCTCTCTCTCTCTCTCTCTCTTTCTCTCTCCTTCTCTCTAGGCTCTCTAATTATTTATCTTAATCTCATACACCCTTTCCATCACATCTCACTCTGATTTAATATGGAATTGGACTGAACAGGAAAAGAATGACCGCATCAAAGATGTATGCACTTACATAAGTTACATTTAAGTTCTTTTGTAACTGATAGAAAAGAAGAAAGATTTTTTTCTTCCAATTTGTGGACCCTCCGACAGGCCATTTTATTGAAAATAAATCTCTGAATAACATATTTGAATACATAGAATAAAATAGAATAGAAATGGTTCTTATTAAAAAGATCATCGCAGCTAATGGCTGAATTGCGATCCATTTCACAAACATACAATACAATTGCAATTTAAATTGAAATAACACAAAATATGACATAAATCAAAATTCAAACATAGACCCCCTATAGACATTTCATAAACATTCGTTGATCAAATTCAAATTTTGTTAAAAAAGACAAAGAAAGGGAGAGGTAAAGGGAGAGTTCAAGTGATGACAAAGAGAGACAAAAAGAGGAAGAGAGAGAGAAGGGGGACGAAAGAGTGAGATGGAAAGAGATATATATATATATATATATATATACATTATGAATATAATAAGCGATGACTGAAAGCATAACAAATTGATAATAATATGATACTACACATACAAAAAAATAAAATATTAAAAAAATTACCAAAAAAAAAAGCCCCCCCCCCCCCCCCCAACTAAAAAAAAAATTACCCCCCACAAAAAAAAACCTCCTCCCCCTCCCCCCCCCCCCAAAAAAAAAAAAAAAAAAATTAAAAAAAAATGCAACATCGTTACTGAAAATAAATTGGGAAACTCGATTAGATTTTTCTAAATAATATCAAACGATCAAAATCCTCTCAAGATTTAACCATTTTTATCAAATTTGTCAGTTTTGTTAGCAAGTATACTAACCTGCCTCTCATTTATGAAACTATTACTGATATGTTATTTTATTGTCATATTACAACTTTCCATTTCGGACTTGTATTTGCATTTAATTATTTGACAGAGTGCTTTAATTATTTGACAGAGTGCTTTAATTATTTGACAGAGTGCTTTAATTATTTGACAAAGTGCTTATTATTTGACAAAGAAATTAATGTAGGAATGGAGACCACCAAATCTCGGTTGAGCACCCTTCGGAGCTTACTTAGTTCCTGGTGTGTTTTTACAAACGCCGAAATCACATTGCCGTTTCCCCCAGGCCAGGCAATTTCCCCCAGGCCAGGCAGTTTCCCCCAGGCCAGGCCGCGCAAACGCGTAACCATGGAAATATTACGAACGCTGACCACAACCAGTTCAAAGTACAGACATAAACACGGCGAACGATCTTTGTCGATGTCATACGACACTTAGCTGTATGGTTCGGAATTATTACCTAACAAAGGAAGCAAACTTCGGCTCTGACGCCCTAGCTGTCAATCATGCAAAAATGGCTCCCCAAAACACTGAAATTTCAGGCTTTAAACAGGTGACGCACTTTACACATAGGTGACGCACACATGGCGTTCCATACACATGCAATAGACACGTGACCGGACATTTCAGGAAAAAAAATCAAGTTTGTACCTAAAATATGACTTTTTTGAGGATTTTTCTTAGTTAAGTAAGACTTATACTTAAGTGAAATACTTAACTGAAATACTTAAGTGAAAAAATCATTAAAAATAGAGGGTTTGACTGAAATATCACAATTTTGGTATCGAAAAAAAACAAAAAAGAGTACGCTATCTCGTCGCACTCATATTTGTAACGTTAAGGAAATGGCGGGCCGTAAACAGCCAATCATAACGAACAAGAACGTTGGATTATGGGCGGGGCGCGGGCGGGTGATTCAAATGAGGCGGAGACCGCTTAAACGTAACTGCGCAAGCGCTAAATGTAAGGAACATTGCTTCGTGGTAGTCATAGTCGCAGTGCTTGAACTTAGCACGTACTATGTAGAACTTTACGCATTGAGCGCTGTACAGTGATTATCTGCATGAGATAGCGCTCTCATCAGCTGATCCGCTCGAGCGACTTCGAACGGTGAGAGTGGGCCTACTTAAGCAGGGAGCGCAATTAAGACAAATGCCAATTACTTGACACGGATCACTTGACACACAGGGAGCTCCGAGCTCTATACATCTAATCCTGAAACACGAATCAAACAGTTTCACATTTAAAAGAAAATGTCGCCAAATCAGCTGTTTAATTTGTGTTACAGGATTAGGTCTGGAGCTCCGACCCCAAGCTTTGGCGTCAGCTTGGAAGCTCCTTGGAGTGATGACATCATGCTTCGAACAGGTGACGCAATTCAAACATAACTGAGACACACTTGGCATAGGTACACACATAAAAAAAAAAAATCAATGAACACTGTTATTTGATTTGATTTGATTTTCTTCTGCATTCATGTAAATACAGTCTTCCGATAACAATGATAATTTAAAGTACAATAAGTATTTTTCTGACAATTCATAAATAAGCAAATATATAAATAGAATTTATATATAAATTGCTATGTTAAAAAACAAAATGATAAACTGTCATAAATACTAAACTTCCCCAACCATTATTAAACATCATAACACTTTAGTACATTTATCATTTTGTATCATTTTGTTTAGGCTATACATAGCCATGGCCAAAGTAAGGCAATGTGTTTGTGTACTCTAATGATTTGTTGTATAATTTATAATTTATGAATAAAAACGGGTACTGGCTGTTAAAAAAAAAGAAGAGATTCCAAATTTCATTTCGTACAATTGTATTTTTTTTGTTGACACCCTGTAGCTCAACGTATAGGAAGATGGATGCTTGCCAGGGCGCTCTGCCAGAAGACTGGTATCCGTTCTCAGAGCACAGCTCCTGCCGCGGTACTGGACAATACCATGCAAGAAGTGATGGATTCCATTCACGAGGCAGGGACATTTAAACCAGAGAGAGTGATCACCACCAGGCAAGCTGCTGACATCAAAGTTGCTGGAATGTCAAAGAATATTCTCAACTTTTGTGCAAACAACTATCTAGGGCTCTCTGTAAGTAGGCATGAAGAAATGATAACAGTCTATCAAAGTTGCTGGAATGTCAAAGAATATTCTCAACTTTTGTGCAAACAACTATCTAGGGCTCTCTGTAAGTAGGCATAGAGAAATGATAACAGTCTATCAAAGTTGCTGGAATGTCAAAGAATATTCTCAACTTTTGTGCAAACAACTAGCTATGGCTCTCTGTAAGTAGGCATGGAGAAATGATAACATTCTCAGCATTGTAGCTATGGATGAGCATGACAAGTAAGAAAATAAAATCAGAAATCTTGTAACTGGTGAAAGAGGCGTAGTTGTTACTTTTACATGCAAAAGATTAGAAATTTTTTATTATCATATCGAGATATATCATTTGTAAGGTTGTACCAAGATTAGTTTCATTTTACGCAAGACACCCAGTAAGAAATGACCTAGTTTTTTATTTGGGCCTGGGCCCTCTTTCATAAAACTTCTTATCAATAACAAATGCTTAATTTCTGTAACAAATTTGCCCTCAGCCAATCAAATGCCGCCATGTCAGTAGCTTATAACAGTTATCAAAACTTGTTGTTGATTACAAGTTTTATGAAACAGGGCCCTAGCTTGCATGATTATAAGCCACTATTTTGTTTTATTTTTTATTTTCTCTTTAGAGCCACCCTGAGGTAATTGATGCTGCTAAACAAGCCTTAGATGAGTACGGTGCTGGACTTAGCTCAGCCAGGTTTATATGTGGAACACAGGTAATTATGCTGCTGAAGTTAGACAGTGAAAAAAATTCCATTTTCAACAACTATTTTTGAATACTGTAGATGACTGGACATATATGTATGTACTATGACGGATATGCTGTTATAAAACTTTAGAAAAAGGGGACCATGGGGGACCAACGGTCACCGCTTAGGCATTGTTTGCTATGTAGAAGGTTCAAGTAGCTATAAGTAGTACAGTGGGGCTTTAAAGGTAATACAAAGTTTTGGTATGGGGTCATGGATATGGTTCAAATGAACATATTGGAAGCATATGTGATTTTACAATATTCATTGATCATTGTCGCGGTTGAAATCGAGTCTATAGTGATGAAATTGTAAATAATAAACTCTTTATGTTGTATAGCGCGCTCTCAAGACTGGTATTACTTTAACTTTAAAACAATCTTTCTTCATTACAATTGACCAATTTGCTATTCCCGTTTGGAAATTATATATCAGAACTGCATATTCTGATATTTTCATGGTCGCAGCTTCCATGGAATGACTTTAGGCGCTATTTGAAATATTTGAAATTTACCGGGAGCACCAGTAAATTTTGATTATTCAATTTGCTCTAAAGCAGAAGTGTTTTAGGTACTACATTTTCTAGTGCTTATTATACATCCACAGGGACATCCAAATATATCAAAATTTTAAAGAATTACAATTCATCTGATTTTCAAAATATCCCAAATCTTTGAATTACCTTTAAAGTGATTTGTTTCATTTTTAATTTGTCTTCTCTATAGGACATACATAAAGATTTGGAAGAGAAGATTGCTCTCTTTCACGGCCGTGAGGACTCCATCTTGTATGCCAGCTGCTTCGACGCTAACGCTGGTTTATTTGAGGCCATGCTGACACCAGAGGACGCTGTTCTCTCCGACGAACTCAACCATGCGTCGATCATTGATGGTATCAGGCTGTGTAAGGCAAAAAGGCAACGCTACAAACATATGAATATGGAAGGTAAGAAATTCATCTTTGGTTGATTTGACATGTGCTCATATAAAATTTCTTTTCATTGACGGTATCAGGTTGTGTAAGGCGAGAAGGCAATGCTACAAACATATGAATATGGAAGGTAAGAAATTCATCTCGGGCTTATTTGACATGTGCTCATGCAAAATGTCCTTTCATTGATGGTACTACATGTAGGCTGTGTAAAGCGAATACAAAGGGAAGGAGCAAACAAAATTTTATGGGAATGTGGGGTTAACAAAAAGGGCAATTAGCCTTATGAACCCCTTAAAAAAGTATACACTGTATTGTTGAGGAAAGAAAAGCAGAGAAAACCTGAATACCAATACAAAAGAAGAAAAAAAATGGAGGGGAATGGAAATGCTTTACAAAGTCAATCATTTATTTTGAGATTGAATACCGGTACAATGAAATAGAATAAAATGATGAAATGAAAATGAAAGACTTTAATACATGCACCAACAATTCAGTCGGTGGTATTACTATCTTTATCCAAAATCAAATCATGAAGAATCTATCTGTTTGAATTTCCATATCTCTTGTACTTACGATTTCTTTGAAAATGACATCACAGTCAGGGGGTGTTTCACTTAACTATGGCAGGCCACTAGTTCCTCTAACCGTTCCTGGCATTGGTTTCTCAAGGGATGGTCACAAATCTACAGAATTTACATTTGTTGACAGTTCTTATTAAAGGAAATTTTTTTCTGAAGATCAGAATTGAGAGACCAATGGCATGAATGGCCTGCCATAGTTAAATCCAACTTAAAGTCTATTTTAGTCTTCGCTCTCGCTAAGACAATATTAGACTCATCTTCAACTCCTCCAATATTGTCATAGCTCGAGCAATATATCCTTGTATCACACTCAAGGCCATCTAATATTTTATAAGTAATGATTAAAGGGGAAGTCCACCCTGAAATTAAGTTAGTTTTAATAGTAGAAAAATGAGAGAAACAAGTCAGTGAAAGTTTGAGCAAATTCCGATTAAAAATAAGGAAGTTAGGATTTTTGAAGTTGTGATCAATCAAACACAAATCGTATAATAAGTCATAGAGTTGCCAATTTGTATTTGATTGATCACAAATTCAATAATTCATAACTTTCTTATTTTCATTCAGAATTTGCTCAATTTTTCACTCACCTGATTTTCTTATTATTCTGCCTCTATCGAAACAAACTTATTTTGGGGGTGGGCTTTCCCTTTAATTGAAAGAATATAAGCAAGTGGAATAGATACATGTATGCATTCACTGAACAGACTTCATTTTCTTCCCTTAGATCTGGAAGTCCAGCTGAGTGAGTCCATGGACTGCCGAATGAGACTCGTTGTCACCGATGGTGTGTTCAGTATGGACGGTGACATATCACCACTCAGGTAAGTGTGAGGGACTGAGGGTGCGTTCAAGCGACACTTATTCACCCTAGAAACAAGGTTTTCAAAGACGTTTAGTTGAAAAGACGGTTGCGTTTAAGCGATTTTTTGTCGGTCGTAAAACGCTGAAAAAGATGCGTTTGGTCGCTAAAAATTGCTTGAACAAACAGAGATCTTAATCATGATTCTATAACGTCATTATCGTGGCCTGCTTCCGGTTTGACCGACAGTCGACCGCAAACAAATTCAGAAAGCACGCCGCGAAGTTGACCTACACTTCCTTGGCCAAAAAAACTGCGCAGTGTGATGAGCAGTGGCTGGGCTTGAAATGAGCGAGAATCAGCGTTGATGAAAAATCGGTTGAACGCTCTAATTTTCATATTATTTGCCATGTACTGCATGAAGAATATAAACAGAATGTATGTGCATATATATATTTTATTCTCTCTCTCTCTTTACTATTTTCAGGGAGATAGTAGCTTTATCCAGGAAGTACGAAGCTCTAAATTTCATATTATTTGCCATGTAGTACATGAATATAAAAACATAAACAGAATGTATGTGCATATATATATATTTTTATTCTCTCTCTCTCATTTACTATTTTCAGGGAGATAGTAGCTTTGTCCAAGAAGTACGATGCACTAGTCTTCATCGATGAGTGCCATGCTACAGGATTTCTGGGTGCGACAGGGCGGGGCACAGAAGAACACCTGGGTATCGACGGCTCCAGTGATATCATTAACTCCACCCTAGGAAAGGCACTCGGAGGGGCAGCTGGTTAGGTTTTTTTTCATCATTTTAAACTTTAGGCTAGTTTGGGACTAATTCTCTCTCTCTCTCTCTCATTCTCGTTATCTTCCCCCCCTCTCTCTCTCTCTCCTTCTCACTCTCTTTTTCTTCCCCCCCCCCCCTTTCTCTTCCTCTCTCTTTCTCACTCACTCTCTTTATCTTCCCCTCTATCTCTTTCTCTCTCTTTCATTCTCTTTATCTTCCCCCTCTCCCTCCCTTTTCTCACGCTCTTTTTCTCCCCTCTCTCCCTCTTCTCTCTCTCTCTCTCTCTCTTTCTCACTCACTCTGTTTATCTTCCCCTCTCTCTTTCTCTCTCTCTCTTTCTCTATCTCTTTCTCACTCACTCTGTTTATCTTCCCCTCTCTCTCACTCTCTCCTTGTTATTTTCCCACAAAAAGACATTTTCAAGCCCTTTTGCTTTGACAGATGTTCTAAATTAGTATTGTCTTTCAAATGCTGTCAGAATTTAACCTTTTCATTATTTTAGCCTGCAAATGGGACATAGTACCTTTATTGTCTTAGGATGATGATTAAGATAAGAGTCAAGGAAGTTTATTGGCTCAGTGGCAGAGCAGTGGTCTTGTAACCGGGAAGTCCTGTGTTCAAAACCAAGTCAATGCCCTTGTGCCCTTTGGTAAGGCATTTTCCTCATTACCAAGTCCTTCAGAGAGGACTTAAAGCTGTCGGTTCCCTGGTTGTTTATTTACAAGCATACACATGATTTCTTAGCAGTCATGTTAAACAATCATCGTCTATTTCTGTATTTTCTTGTAGGCGGCTACACCTGCAGTCAAGCCACCCCTCCTCTCTCTCTCACTCTGTCTCTCTGTCTCTCTCTCTCTCTCTCTCTCTCTGTCTGTCTCTCTGTCTGTCTCTCTCTCTCTGTCTGTCTCTCTCTCTCTGTCTCTCTCTCTCTGTTCCCCTGTGTCTCTTTCCTCTACGGTGTCTATGGCATCAACCACTTAAAGTCTTAGGATAACAATTATTATAGATTATAAAACATTTCTGTATTTTCTTGTAGGGGGCTACACCTGTGGTCCAAAGTCATTGATTGATATGCTGAGACAGAAATCAAGGCCGTACCTCTTCTCAAACTCACTCCCTCCTCCCGTCGTAGCCTGTGCTTCCAAGGTATGTCACCGCACAGGTCATCTTACTAGTAATGATAATTAGATCTTGCATGTACTTACCCAGGTGAGTTGTCATTTGGTCGACTACCAGGGGAGCGTTTTCACAAAACTTGTCATCAGTGACAAATGACAGGTTTTGTTGTAAGCTACTGAAATCCTTGCTTCCGATTGGTTATCAGCAGATTTGTCACTGGTTTTTGTCATTTGTCATTGAAAAAAGGCTTTGTGAAACGCCCAGTTCGTTTAATACCCAATTTGTCTTTTCCCATATCTACAATGGATATATTTATAATTGAAAACTTGAAAGTATGGAGCTAAATCGATGAATCAAGATAAATGCAGAAGCCAACTATCATAAGCATGAAAGCTTGAGTCCATAGCTTGACTCTGATATTATATTTTTATATTCTGTTTTTGTTTTGTTATTTGAATTGTGTATGTGGGGGTGTCATGGTCGAGTGGTTTAAGGCGCTTGACTGGAGATGCGAAGGTCGAGGGTTCAAATCCCGACACGGCACTAATATCCTTTGGCAAGATATTAACCTACACTTGCTACTCTCCACCCAGGTGTAAAATGGGTACCCGGTAGGATGCGACCGTCATTGTTAGTCAAACAGTTTTGAGCGTCAAGTAACGCCTGGCTGGAATGTTCCCCAGGGAATGGAGATTGTGCACACAGTGTGTGCGGGCAAGCACTGAATCCAATGACCGGGGTAATAGTATATCTGTAAAGCGCTTAGAGACATCCGAGATGTCTTAAAGGGATCCGGTAGCTTTGTCTTAGATTCTGAAACAAAATTCTGGATTTAGCTCATGCTGCAATGATAATTATAAAGCTTTAGGTCAGTAAGGAAGCCGAACGCCTGTCTGATTATCAAGATATTTATGATTGAAATTACAAATTTTGAAAAACATTTGCCAAAATTGTTTTCATAACACTACAGTATATTGGGAAAAAGAGTATGGTAAAACCGATCACCAAAGATTTTTACTTTTTTGAGGCACTTCTTGATCATGTTGAAGCGCAACTTTTGTAGGGCTTCAATATTACACCATATGACAGACACTGATAACACGTAGGGCCGTGTATCTCAGATTTAACATTGTTAAACGATCCCTTTAAGCGGTATATAAAAGCTGAATATTATTATTATATTATTTCTGTTTCTATTGCAGGTGTTTGATATGATTATGAGAGACAATTCACTTGTGTCCAAGGTGGACAGCAACACGCAGAGATTCAGGAAACATATGAAGGACGCAGGATTTAAAGTTTGGGTAATTATGAAATCATTTGTTGAGGGCTTTGTCTCAGATTCTTAACAGAATCCTGGATTTAGATCATGCTGCAATCATAATTATAAAACTTTAGGTCAATCAAGCATCCCATGACTTTTACAAGCCAATTAAGCCTGTCTGATTATAAAGATATTCATGATTGGAATTCGAAAATTCAAAAACCGTTTTCCAAACGCTTTTTATAACACTGCAGTCTATTGGGGAAAATCAGTATGGTAAAACCAGTCACTCAAAGATTTTACTTTCTTGAATCACTTCATGATTATTTTGTAGCGCAATTTTTTTAGGGCTCCACTATTATACCATATCACAGACACTGATAATGCGTAGGGCCATGCATCTCAGATTTGTACAACTGGAAACATTTTTTTTTTTTGGGGGGGTGCAAATTTTCAAAGGGCGAAAATAAAAATTAGTGCTCACTATGGTCCATATGGTCACCAACGTCTCAGGACATGGCACGTAAAAAAGAAGAAAAAATTTAATAACATACTGACCGTGGGGTGTGTTTCACAAAAGATCCTATACTAAGTTGGACTTAACATTTATGGAAAGCCAAAATAGCATCATTGAAAATATTTTGTAAAAGTTATTTTAAAAGGCAACAAATGTTGATTCAAATCATTCATATTGTCTATTATCAAGGAGATTTCATGTTCTTGATGTTGAATTTATGAAAAGTCTAAAATACTTGAATTTTTGCTTTTGAATATATTTCATTTTAAGGCTGCAAATGGCTCTCCATAATATTTAAGTCCAACTTAGAGTTAAAGGTACTATGTCCTATTTGCAGGCCAAAAAAATCAAAGGTTAAATTCTAAAGGCAGTTGAAAGATGATAATAATTTAGAACTTCCCTAAAAAAGGTGGGGCTTGAAAATGTCTTCAAGTGGGAAAATAATGACTATTAGTTGTCAAATCGACTTAGGAGCTATAGAGCCAATAAGTAATAGTCTTGACTTTCAGACCATTGTACTGAATGGTCATATGTTTTATGCTGCGCAAAGATTCAATCAGTTTAATTTTGGCCATCACAAGAAGTGGGTTATATTGATGTAGACAAATGCTCATGCACCCTTTACAGCTCATTTTATGTATATTATTATCAATGAAGAAAAAAAAACAGTCAGTCACTCAAAAGTGTCTGACAGTGAAGTCTAGCAAGTAACAAGTTTCCTTGCATAATTTGAATATTAGGACACTGCTAACGTTTAAATTTCACAGATAGGACATACATGACATATTCATAATTCCTGCAAATTTCTACAGAATTTGAGGTTGACTGCAAAAGGGACATAGTACCTTTAAGTTCAACTTAGGATCTTTGTGAAACATCCCCCTGGTTTATACATTATTTTGTTTTCTTTAAAAGGGGTCGACGCATCCCATCTGCCCCATAATGCTTGGTGATGCAAGTCTAGCTGGAAGATTCGCAGAGGAGATGCTGCAGAGAGGTATCTACGTCATCGGCTTTAGCTTTCCTGTAGTCCCTAAAGGTAAGATTCATGTTGTGTTCTAAGGGATATGACTTCCGTTCTGTGGAGAGAGACGCTGGTTGAGTTTCCTTTCCGTTGCGAGTGTAGGATCTTTCTTTAGTTGTTTGTAAGTCGGAGTCTCGAGGAGCGCACCGATCTTATTGTTGTAGTCCCCTTTGTTCAGAACTACTGTAGCTATGCCCTTGTCTGCCTGTAGAATGTGTATTGACGGGTCGAAACTCCCCCAAGTCCGCAACCCGGAGACTCCAGCCCAGATGGACAAGCAGACCACCCATGTCCACTCCCGGATTGCTCAAGCCCACACGGTCATGTATATTTCGCTCACGTCCGCACCCCGGTGACTTAAACTCACGCACGCCAGCTATTCTCCACTCCTGACGATGGATAGTCAACCTGTTTGAAACGTCGAGCCACTCCAGCCACCCATCCTCTCCAAGCGCTATAGTTCTCCTTAGAACTATAAGCTAAGAAAGATAACCAACAGTCTTTTTCAAGACTACACCAACAGTCCTTTTCAGGACTACACACCCTCAAGAAAGATTACCGAGAGTCCTTTTCAGGACTCCTCAATCCTCCCTCTCTGTCACATGGTGCACCCACCAGCCTACTCTATAAGATTCTTTTTTGTCTCTCTTTCTGTCTCTTTGTCTCGGGGGGGGGGGGTATCTTAGTCGGTGAGTAAAGAAACCCACTGGTCATACTGGTTAAGGAGTGGGAGGGACCTGGGGACCGTATTATCACACCCCTTTCTCTCGCTCGCACCCCTTCTCTATTTCACTCTATACCCATTTTCTTTTCTCTCTCTCTCTCCCTCTCTCTCTCTTTCTCTGTCTCCCCTTCTATATCTCTCTCTCTCTGTTCAAATTACTTCCCCCCCCCACCCTTTGCCCTTACTCCATATAACTCTGTCTGTCTGTGTGTGTATGTCTCTCTCTCTCTCTGTCTCTCTCTCATTCTCTCTCTCTCTCTCTCGCTCTCTCGCTCTCACCACTCACTAATGTCTTTTCCTCTCTCTCTCTCTCTCTCTCTCTCTCTAGGTCTAGCCCGTATCCGTGTTCAAATCTCCGCAGCTCACACTGAGGCAGAGATCGATCAGTGCGCCCAGACATTCTACGACGTCGGCAAGAAGCTTGGGGTCATCTAACTCAAGCTCGGGGTCATCTAATTCAGCAAGGGCAAGGGAAATAGTGCAGAGACAATGTGAATTATATTTTAATACTGTCTGACATGTGGTCAGGCATATGCTCCCGTGATAATTGCTCTGAGGTTTATATTTTCATTATAGATGCAAGGTAAGGGCAATACAGGTGCAAGTTGGTTCTAGTGTAATTAGGGTTATGGTTAGGTATAGTTTTGTTACCTGTGTATGCATGTTTGTAATTTGCCTTTTTACAGACTTGTATCGATCGGATATGATTATTTACATCTGGGGACCGACCTTTACCCTCCCTGTCTTGAAGACATGACCCAGTGTCGAACCATAGCAAAATAACACTTAGTTCCTATAGGAAATCTATTTATTCAGATGGTCATATCTCAGCCAATGCTTAACATATTCAATTGGTTTTCGACATTTGGACATTATTTTTAATGCTCTTTCCGAAAATGAAGTTCAAATTGAGATAGTCCAAATATAGATTTTTATGATGTCACAGCTTCGGTACTCTATTAGCAGTAGGGTGCTGTCTCAATTTTTAGAAAGTGTAATTTACAAAAAGCAAAGAATAATTAAGTGAATGAAACTTGCATGTGTATTTGTGGTTTGAACATGTATATATGACAGGTACCATTCACATATCTTTGAAGAATGTTTATTCTGCTAGTTACGGTATAATTTGGTTCCATTTTTGCTTTGTTTTTATTAGGTTGCGGGTGTTTTTTGGCAATGTGCTATGCTATTAGTTTGTGCTTGTTCAAACTTAAGTCTTTCTTTCACCTTGTCATGGGTATATACCGTGCATTCGTCTATTTATTTTCATTATACAGGGTGTCCCGTTATGCAGCTATATACTCTCAACTTTTTGAATATTTGTGCAAATCCTTTTATTTATCATGTTAAACTTATTTCACCGCTGATACAATAGTTATATAGTTATTCAGCTATATACTCTCAACTTTCTGACTATTTGTGCTTATCCTTTTATTTATCATCTTAAACTTATTTAACTGTTGATACAATACCAGGGTAGCTAAAGCGAAATGCAGTGGCATAAAAAAGAGGCGTTAGGAAACACAAAAAAGAGGCGTTCGGAACAAGACGCGTTCAGAACACAAGAAGATGCGTTCAGAACACCAAAAGACACATTCGGAACACAAAAAATTGCATTTGGAAAACAAAAAAGACGCGTTTGTAACACAAAACGACAGGTATGGAACACACAAAAAGACGCGTTCGGAACACAAAAAGGCACGATGCTGAATGAAAAGTTGGAATTTGTCGCATCTAAAAATGACATTTTGGGGTGATATTGAGTCTGATCGAAGTAATAGAGATATTACCTAGTCCCGCGTCATGAAACTATGGTTCACTCACGATCCCATAACATCATTATTTTTCAAAATTTGCGTTCCAGACGCACCTTTTCGTGCCTCTAATTTTGTGAAGCTACCTGAGAAAAGAGGCTTTACTACAGCATTCATGACGAAAACAGTCCATTTAAACTTCACCCCACTTTGGACCCGAAAGTGGGGTGCAGTTTGGGAAGAAGCTCACCACAGAGCTAGAGAGAGAAAAGTCCCTAATCTGCAGTGTAAACAAACTTTGCCAGGACATCGCCAGCCCAACCTTGATAAGTACTGCTTGGAACTCTCTCTATGAAACTCTAGTCTTATTCACAGTCTGATATAGGTTCGGATTATGTCCATTCTTATACCTGGGAGTTGTCAGTTTCATCTCCCTTGCTTTTCCTTTATGTTCCTTTCATCATAATTGTCTAGTTTGGAATGCATGGACATAAGTAAATGTGATATAAATAATAATGCATTATACAAATAGTATAGGATATAATATACGCTAGACTGCTCTGGGTTGCCTGTTCATGATTTATAGCGCATAAATATTAGGCTTGATATATATCTGAACCTCGAAATAATATCAGTTCCAGTGTTCAACTATTTTGAATCTAATATTTGTTTGATAAATATTCCGCAGTAAATTTGACAATTATCAACATCTATACTATAGACATATTTTTTTACAAATAATAACTCATGACCCTCACACTACAAGGATAGCATTCATCCAGATTCTCCAGCTTGCTAATTCGGATTCTCCAAGACCACCCCAATTAAAGCTTGGTTTATATACACAAAGATATCTGGGAAAAAAGTGGTCTGTAATACCAGACAAGCAAGTGGGGTATTTGGGCTCTGTGCTCACCGAAATTGAAATTCTCCATTTGAAACTCTGGTAATGTCAACAAATACAGCCTTTGTTAAAGGCGTTATTCCACCTCCAAATTCTTTTATCTGCCGTTTCCATCTTTCCCTACATTATTCTTTAGTGGCTCCTTCTTGTATCTTCTTAATTGTTTTCTACTTCATTCATCTTCCGTTTTTTTTTCATTTAGCTTTACTATGTTCTGTATTTTCTTCTTTTCTTTTCTTCCATTTCTGTATTTCCTTATGCTGTTTTTTATTTTCTCTGTCTTTCCTTATGTTTTTAGCTATTATCAACTTTGTTCTATCTTCCGGCTAATGTTATTCCTTATTTTTCTCCTCCTTTCAACACATATTTTTGACTTTCCTAATATATATTTTGTTCAAACCTTCTTTTATCTTCCTTTTCCATCTTTCCTTTTGTTATTTTTTTTTTTACATACCTTCTATCTTCCATTTCCATTTTTCTTTAAAAATAATTACTTATTATCACCCATCTTTCCGTATGTTATCCTTTATTTCTTCCTTCCTTTATATTATTTTTCCGCATTATCATTTTTTTTGTTTTTCTATCATTTCTATCTTTCCATAAGTAATTCTTTGTTTTAAACCTTCTATTTTCTTCCGTTTCCATCTTTCCTTATTTTATTTTATGTTTTAAACCTCCTTTCATCATTTTGTAATAACTTTGTTTATGTTATTCTTTATTTTTTGTATCTATCTTTCTCCCATTTTCACAATTAATAACTCATGAACATCACACTAGTACAAGGATAACATTCATCCAGATTCTCCAGCTTGCTAATTCGGATTCTCCAAGACCACCCCAATTAAAGCTTGGTTTATATACACAAAGATATCTGGGAAAAAAGTGGTCTGTAATACCAGACAAGCAAGTGGGGTATTTGGGCTCTGTGCTCACCGAAATTGAAATTCTCCATTTGAAACTCTGGTAATGTCAACAAATACAGCCTTTGTTAAAGGCGTTATTCCACCTCCAAATTCTTTTATCTGCCGTTTCCATCTTTCCCTACATTATTCTTTAGTGGCTCCTTCTTGTATCTTCTTAATTGTTTTCTACTTCATTCATCTTCCGTTTTTTTTCATTTAGCTTTACTATGTTCTGTATTTTCTTCTTTTCTTTTCTTCCATTTCTGTATTTCCTTATGCTGTTCTTTATTTTCTCTGTCTTTCCTTATGTTTTTAGTTATTATCAACTTTGTTCTATCTTCCGGCTAATGTTATTCCTTATTTTTCTCCTCCTTTCAACACATATTTTTTGACTTTCCTAATATATATTTTGTTTAAACCTTCTTTTATCTTCCTTTTCCATCTTTCCTTTTGTTATTTTTTTTTTTACATACCTTCTATCTTCCATTTCCATTTTTCTTTAAAAATAATTACTTATTATCATCCATCTTTCCGTATGTTATCCTTTATTTATTTCTTCCTTTATATTATTTTTCCGCATTATCATTTTTTTTGTTTTTCTATCATTTCTATCTTTCCATAAGTTATACTTTGTTTTAAACCTTCTATTTTCTTCCGTTTCCATCTTTCCTTATTTTATCTTTTGTTTTAAACCTCCTTTCATCATTTTGTTATAACTTTGTTTAAGTTATTCTTTATTTTTTGTATCTATCTTTCTCCCATTTTCACAATTAATAACTCATGAACATCACACTAGTACAAGGATAACATTCATCCGGATTCTGAGATTGCTCATTCTCACGAAGCTTGGTGTACGCGAAGATATCGGGAAAGAAAGCGGTCTGTAATACCAGACACGCAAGTGGGGTATTTCGCTCCCCGTTCACCGAAAAGTGAGATTCTCCATTTGAAAGTCGGGTAAGGTCGACAAATTTAGCCTCTGTTAAAGGCGTTACTCCGCCACCAAATTTATTCGCATAGACGAAATAAACTCGAACGCGTTTAGAAAAATGGAGTAGGCCTAGGCCTATAAGGAAAGGCCGGGAAAACATAAATTTTGTTGGTTTGACCGTTAAATATTTTTGAGGTATTAAAGCAAGAATAGAATGTTGTAAATATTGTTTACGTTACATTTATTCCGTGCGTAATCTGAAGGTCTACTCAACTTTCTTATTGCCTATTTCTTGCCCCCCCCCCCAAACGGCAGATCAAGGATTTGAAAATAGGGAGTGGCCGGGGCTCAGACGTCAAATTTGAAATAGGGGGGGGGGGTGGTTGTTTAGGCAGACGGCACATTTCTTGGAATTCGTTATAAAGACGGTATTTAAAAAAATGATGATTCTGGCAAGATAAGAATTGAATTTCATCAAACTTTTATTCGATTTAATATGATCTGTATACGTATAGGATACAATATTTATTTCCCCACAACACATCAAGCCGTGATGATTGAATGTCCATTGCATGTAACACGAAAGAAACAGAAACTCTCAAATCTACAATCCTTTAGAAAGATAATAATTAGTTGAGTGATTAGGGCATTACAAGACATCGAGTGACTTAATCTATTTTACAATAGTTGATGCAACCATAATGGAACATTATGCTTCTCGATACTGAGGATATGAAATTTCAGCACAAGAGTATTTGGTTTCAAAATTTTATAGCAGTTCGTTAAAGAAACATTTCGATGCTCACTTGCATAATAAATCTCTATGACAAGCTCATTTTTATCACGACAGTTAAACCTTTTAACTTTTTTATACTAAAGATTGTTGAAGAATTGCCTAATAACTGCTCGGATGATTTTTTACCTTTCTCCGAAACCTCTTGGTTTTTTGCTCATGATTATAGCGCATTATTCTTTTTGTTACTGTATGTACATATCTGCACAACGAACGTCTTTATGATTATGATGTCCTTGTTTCGTTGTATGTTATAAATTCAATATCATGACGAGAAGTGCGTCAAAAATATCTTAACATCGAAATGATTTCTGTTCATGTTTAACTATTTTAATTGAAGCCTTTTTACTTGATCTAATACTTTTATGATGATGACATAGTCCGCAATAAACTTGACAAACATTATCATCCATACTATATGTCGTAGTTTATAACAATAATTACTCATGAACCTCACACTACAAGGACAACATTCATCCAGATTCTGAGATTGCTCATTCTCACGAAGCTTGGTGTACGCGAAGATATCGGGAAAGAAAGCGGTCTGTAATACCAGACACGCAAGTGGGGTATTTCGCTCCCCGTTCACCGAAAAGTGAGATTCTCCATTTGAAAGTCGGGTAAGGTCGACAAATATAGCCTCTGTTAAAGGCGTATACTCCACCACCCAATTTGGAACAGCTTGTCACATGCAGTATCGTGAATGCGCCCGGCACTCTGAGCGGCCGTTTTTCAGTGTATTTACTTTTAGTGTTCTTAAAAATTTGCCGTGTCGTTTGATCCTAATTTTATCTTTTTCATCTTTCTAATTTTCATCTTTCCTTATATGTATTCCTCTATTTTCCTCTCGTTTTATTCTCTCTATCTTTTCTCATGTATTTCTCTTTTTCTAACCTTCTTTATCTTCTGTTTCCATCTTTCCTTATGTATTTTTTAAAAAACTTTTTATCTTCCTTTTCTATCTTTCCTTATGCTATTCTTTATTTTCTCTTCCTTCTTTCCCTCCATTTCCATCTTTCCTTATTATCACCCGTCTTTTCCTATTTTATCCTCCATTTATATTTTCCTTCTGCATTTTTCCATTGCAAAGCACATCAATGTCCTCTTCTATACGTAAAAGAAACTTAAATAGCTAGTACTTGCTAAAAAAACAATAACAAGTGAGACTTTAGACACACTGAATCCAGGCCTATTATCAATATAGGTGTAGGGTCTGCGATGAGAAGACTATGAATCTGGATTGGATATCAGATACCAGCTGGTAATCCCTTTATCAGTAACTAGGCTATGATTGACCGCTGTCTCTCTCCCCAT